CCAGTTGATGACCACTTATCCATCTGCCTCCAGTTTCCAAAATTCTATTACTGCCATGTCTTCTCTTGTTATTTTTTGACCTTGTGCGTGTGTGTGTGTGTGTTTGCCGTTTCACAGATCCCTTTACTGCTATTTTAATAGGGTCTGAAGAAGGAGCAGAGCATAGAGTAAGATAGGGAGGAAAGGACACTTTGAGGAGGTCAGTTTTAAACCGGAAGGGGCCTTCTATTTCAGTTCTAGTGTATATTGACATACGTACAAATATATCAGCAGAAATTTTTTTTTTTTTTTTGCGGTATACGGGCCTCTCACTGTTGTGGCCTCTCCCACCGCGGAGCACAGGCTCTGGACGCGCAGGCTCAGCGGCCATGGCTCACGGGCCCAGCCGCTCCGCGGCACGCAGGATCCTCCCGGACCGGGGCACGAACCCGCGTCCCCTGCATCGGCAGGCGGACTCTCAACCACTGCGCCAGCAGGGAAGCCCCATCAGCAGAAATTTTAACTTCACTTCATTTATTCAGAAGGGGCTACGAGCTCAAAATCAACCCAAGTTTTCTTTAAATATGAGAGCACTGGCACCACAGTCAGCTGTATAGTTAAAACCTCACGTAGTCAAACTTCACTAATTTATAATTCGTGATAATGGACTTGGATGAAATTTGCCTTTCTCCATTTTTTTTAATTAAAAAAATTAGTGTAAATGACACTGCAGATTGGTAAACTGGTTAAGAGAAAAAATATTCAAGGATATTATTAGAACTTATGCAGAAAGACAGAAAGTTCCTCTGATTACAAATGCTGCTACTGATGTGAATCTGATTTGCTATGCCCTGAACTGCACTTTATTAGCTATTAATCTGTATTACTGAATTAACAGAACTGAAATAAAATCCTTGCTTCTCCTTAAGCAAATTTCATAAATTTTTCTTTTTACAGGCTTTTCGTCTACCTGAACTTGGAATTGTGGAGGGTTTACTCTGATGAAAAGAACAGAAAGACAAACTGTGAACTGTAACATGTCATTTACAATTAAAAAACCACTAAACACAGGCAAGGAATTCAAGGGCTATAAAATGCCATGCATTTTCACAGTCAATTAATACAAAATTATTTGGCGCGTTCAATTCTGTAGCTAGATGGGAAGTTACTATATTTAATTGCTTTCAAACTCGCAAATTCACCTGTGAGACTGGCCCTCTTTTCGTGCTCTCAGGGGGAAATGGTGCCTCAGCCTTCCAGTCCCCGGAAGTGCCATTGGTTTGTCTCTTTTTATGATGACCCATTGCTCTGTCCTCCCTCCCACCCTCCCTCCCTCTTTCCTTTTTTCCTTCCATCCTTCCTTCCTTCCTTCCTCACTGATAAACATCCAGTGTGCTGGTCTTTATGCCTGAAGCTGACTGGAGTGCTTTCTCCCATGTGTGGGTGGATGTGACTCAAGGATGTAAGCCCAGATTTAGCTGCACATCCTGCCCTTTGAAGAGCGTGTGTGTGTGTGTAGAGCACCGGCTTTCCCTTAGAAGCCCTGGGACTCTGCTTGCGCCTTGCTGGCCTGTCTACAACAGCAGTCCTAAGTGATGTCAGTGGAGTAAAAGAGAATGCAGAGAACTGGCCTTCAAGAGTCACTTTAAGGCTCCAATGAGACTAGTGACATTCAGCCTTATGAATGTAAAATCTGAAAGTTCACAGACTCCCTAATAATAGCAGCTATACCTCTGCTATTTTCTCTTGAGAAAATACATGACTAAAAGCTATCTTTATTCACTGATTCTTTCAAATAGGTTTGACTTTTACTAACCACGCCAGTGTAAACAAACATTTGAACAATGGTAAGAGTTAGTACGTGCCCATGTTTAGTCAGTGTATCACTTAGGAATTGTATGTGACTTCTAGAAACAGAATTCTAACTCTGGTGAATTAAATACCTGAAGGTTTAGACCCTGACAGGCAAGAGGTCCAGGGGTGTTGGTTTAAAGCCAAGGTCTCTGAAATCCTCTGGCCTTTTCTTCATGGTCCCAAGGAGGTTGCTGGAGCTCCTGCCACACACAACATCTGCTTTTGCTGCAGCTTGAGGAATGAAGGGCAAAAAGTTTTCCTTTGAAAGGCTTTTGCTCTTTCATGCTTACGTCTCAGTGGTCACCCCCTCTGCAATGGAGGCTGAAGAATGTAGTTTTTCGGCCGAGCACATTATCCAGGGGTCTCTTAGAAGGGAGGATGGGAGAAGGACCTTGGATAGGCTGCTAGCAACCTATGACATGGTCAGTCCAGACACGAGGCTGAGAGTGTGTCTGGAACCATGGGCAGCGAGGGGGTTCTCAGCGTGTGGGTGGAGACCACAGGTCAGACGTCCCTCACACTCTATTCTACGGGGCTGGCATCTCGGTGTGCTGGGTTTAAGCATTTCTCAGAGGAGGCAACTCGTAGTAGTCAAAGGAGCACCGAATGTGGAGGCAGAAGAGGTGGACACAGTCCTGAGCTATGGGTCAGGAACGTGGACAAATGGCTTTACCTCTCAGAAGTGCAGCTTTCCCTGTACAAGGAGGAAATAGTAACATCTGCTTCTGGGAGGGGGATGGAGACGAGGTCTGTGAAAGCTTCTCGGCGTGGAGTCTCCCACACAGAGATGCTTGCTCAAGGTGGCTTTAAACCGAGGAGCCCAGGGTCACAGGCCAACCTCGGACTTGGGGACAAGCAGGCAGGTGTGAGGTGCTGGACCTTCACCTGGAGTCCCACGTGGTGGATGCTGGGGTGAACGGCCACAAGGTCATCTCCAGTGCCAAACGGCATCTTGTAAACTGCTCGATCCCAGAAGCAGGTGCAAATTGGATTTTGAAAAGTGCAAGTTCCCTCCCCGCTGCCCGTCCGCTCTGGAGGTCTGCGTGCGTGTCTGCTTTGTATTTCAGGATTTTCATTTTTTATACTGGCTCATTTACAGATGTTTGATCAGGTGTGAACGTCTACCAAGAAGACTATAAAAAAGCAATTTAACAAGTGAGTCTGAAATGCCATACCAAGGGTGGGACTTTACACAAATTACGTACTGGACTTCAAAAATGAACAAAGTTTCTCTTTCTTTTTTATTTCCTTGAGAAGCTCCTGGAAGGAAAGTTCAGGAGTTCACTTTGCCTGTTTGGGGCGGCTGTCCAGGCGCCCACATCGCCCTGCGTTTCCTCAGACTGTTCTCTTTCCCTGAGATGGCCTTTCCCTCCTATTCACCTGGCAAAAACCTATTTATCTTTTCAGGCCCGGCTCAAGCAGCAACTCTTCTTCAAATCCTTGATAACCCAGGACCCAGGCAGGAGGAATCCCTCTTTCCCCTGTGCTGGTGTAATTCCTGTCTGTATCTTCACTGTAATAGCATCGGGCGTTTGTTGAGAGCTTACTGTGTGCCAGGCACTGGTCTAAGTGCTTTATGTATGTTCACTTAATGCTCATGAAAACCCTGTAGGGTAAGAACTGTTATTATCCTCATTTTACAGAAGAAAATTGAGGCATGGAAAGATCAAGCGGGTTGCCCAAGATCATACAGCTAGGAAACGGCCAAGTCAGGATGGGAATCCAGTTTCTTAAGCAACTATAACACATACATGATAATTATTTTAATAATGTACTTATCAGTTTTTCTCACTAGATTATAAGAATTTTCTGTCAGGGGCTCTGTCTTATTCCTCTGAGCATACCCAGCATTCTATCCTGAATGAATGAATGAATATGTGTACACACACCATGGGGTAACAAATTTGAACTGTACAGGAAACTCTAAAATGATGAGAAATTACTGTATGTCCCCAATTCAAGTTTCTTTTCACAGTGAGCACTGTTAATCATTTCCTGTGATTTCTTTTAGAAATACCAGCATATATGTATGTGATTTAAAGAATTTACCCAAACAGGATCACTTTTAAACATTCTGCTCATTGCTTAGTACATACAGGGCTATTTTCAACTTATCAAAAATGAAAAGTGATTCTGATATTTTGATTAACTGTGATACCTTGAAAATTCCGTCGATTTTGTGTCCGTAAAAATTGTTGATCATTTAAAAGTATTGATCATAGCCCCAAATCCAGTTTTTAAAATGTTCTAACCACATAGTAGCAACCTCAACTACTTTGGGGAACAGAGGAAGATATGAGATAATTATGTCTCTTAGCCAGTGTGCTCTCAGCAGTGCTTACTCAGAATCCTTTCATTTCTGTTATTCTTCTACATTTACAAAGAAGCATTCACTGGAGTGTTTTTCTAAAGGAGCAGAGGAGGGGTGCTGATGGGGGGGCATGGGGGGCTTCGAGCAGAGCACAAAGGCTCTAAAGCCCATGGCGGCCTCGGTCTTGGGAGCCTGGGAGGTGGGTATAACAACCCATGGACCCCGGGCTAGCACAGAAGAGGGTCCATAAATCCTGGACTTTCCAAGGGACTTCAGTGCACTGAGTTCTTCTACTGTGTGGACATTTCATCTCCTCCTCTGGCAGGGAAAATGCCTTTATTTTCCATATGGTACAAAGATGTACCTCTCTCCGAAGCAGAGCTGAACCTGAGCAGAACATGTTTGTTTGTGATTTCGGTCCTACAGGCTGGACACTGGATGCAGGCCTAGTTCACTCTTAGTAGTCAGCAGAAGGCCTTGATTCAGATGCCCTTGAGGGTGTGCTCTTTCCCCTTGCACTACAAGCTCCTGTGCTCAGACCTTGGACGCTGCAGGAGAACCGTCACCCGGTGCTGTTCTCAGCCCACGATTGTCTGGATCAGCCTACTTTCTCCTAGGAAAGTTCTCAAACAGTGAAACATATGAAATTAGCTTCTATTACTTATTTAAAAATCTCAGTAAAACATACATAACATAAAACATAAAAATATACATAACATAAAAAAAAAAAAGGCTCCAGGTCGCAGCCTGTATCAGAATTTCCTTCCTTTCTGAGGCTGAACAATACTTCATTGTATGGATGGACCACATCAGCAGACACTGGGGCTGCTTCCACATCTTGGCCATTGTGCATAATGCTGCTGTGAACATGGGTGTGCAAATATCTCTTTGAATCCTTGCTTTTAACTCTTTTGGGTGTATACCCAGAAGAGGGATTGCTGGGTCACGTGGCGGCCCCACGTTAAATTTTTGGAGAAACTGCCACACTGTCTTCCCCAGTGGCTGCGCCATTTTATGTTTCCGCCAGCAGAGCACAGGTTCCAATTTCTCCACATCCTCAGCAACACTTACTTTTGTTTCTTTGATGGGCTCCGTGGTGTGATGGGTGTGGGGTGGTATCTCGCTGTGGTTTTGGCGTATGTTACCTTTCACTCAAGAAAAAGCATTCTTCATTCCGGATTTGGTGGGAGTGTTTTGAGGAGGAACCATAAAAGCAAAGTTCTCCACCGAATGGCAGCTCAGGGCACATTCATCAACCTACGCCTGGGCCCAAAGACGGGATCCGACCTTTAGAAGGAGCTGGCTGGGAAGCCCTGCATCGCCCGGCCGTGCTGAGCCCCAGAGACGTCCCCAGGGATTCCTGACCATTAAATCGTGCCCTGAATCTGGGGTGGGAACGGCCCTCTGTAACGTAACACTGCTGACAACTTTGTGCTGGCCCTTATGTAAATGGGGGAGTGCTCTTCCAAGCATCAGGGTCAGGCACGGACACTCCTCCTATTTCAGCGTTGGAGGTGGACTTGACCGAGGCAGCGGAGGAATCCGAGCAGACACCGTTTGTGCAGACAGCTGAACAGGCTTGTTCCAGGAGACCACGCCAATTTAGTGTCTTTGTTGCTTTTCTTTTTTCCAAAACCACGTCCACATTTGTCACCGTATCTTAGCCTCTCAGTAATCTTTGGAACTAGCGGAGATCAGCCCATTTGACAGCAAGAACCATAGTCTCTGAGACGTGAAGTACCTTCTGCAGGGGACGCAGCTGGTTAACAGAAACGCCACTAGAACCCAGCATCCTGGCTGTGGACCAGTGGTCCATTTCACAGAGATGATCCCCGCTGGGAGTTAAGATTTCGTGCATCTGAATAGCCTGCTTTCTTCAGGACTTTTTACGGCTCGAAGCAAATTATTGCGTGGAGCAGCAGCAGAGGCGCAGCTTTGCGTCTGGCCCTTTCTCCATAGATCCTGGTGGTAAAGCCCAGCTCCGTGAAGATGGGCGCACCGCCCCCGCCCCCGGGCCTCCCTAACCTCAGCGGGTACCACCCAGGGCTCCTCACAAGACTTCGAGACTCAGTCTGGTTAACTGTGCTTAGCTTCAGGTTAGAAACCACTGCTGATGACTCTCATGATCATTAAAATCAGCTTCTCAAAACACGAATGTCATAGACTAAAGAACTTCCCGGGCCTCTTGTTGTTGCCCTGCTTAGCTCAGGTGAGAGATCATGTGAAGTTCTGTGCCACTGGCGGTGGTCTCTGAGTGACTGGTGTTTTCCTTCTGGAGTTTCAGTGGCCTGAAGTAGACACACAGGTCTGGGCAGCCCTCACCAGGCTATTTGCAAATGTGCAAGCCCACGCATAAATGGTCCGTCTTCTGGAATTTACTAGCTGGAGACCTGAGTGGCCAAGAGCACAGGGGCTTGTGGACACGGCATGTGGGTGCCACTGATAGACAAAGGCAACCAGCTGACTCTTATGGCTTCTCTCCACGGAGGTCATTCCTCAGCTCAGGTGGCCTGTGCCGAATATGAGCCCAGAGCGTGATGAAGCTGTCGCTACGGGGACGGCAGAATCAGTGCCTGAGGGTTTTAGGTTACGGTGAGTATTAGTGGGAACACGGTGACGGTTTCCTTAAATAAACCAGTGAACAGCAGGCCCTTTTCTGCTTGAAAACAAAAGATGAGAAAAAGCTATCTCACGTGCCAACTCTGATATGTATTCTATTGTATATTTACCGGAAAATGTATAACTTTGATTTATTATTTATGTCTTTACAGAAGCACCTTTTGTCAAGGATACCATGACTGGAGGAAAGAGCTTTTGTTATCATGAAAAACAATGATCAGTCTTATGTTGCTCTTTGGAACGAAATCCTCAGAGCCTACTTTAAAATTATAGACCTTAAAAGTTGCCTATTTCTTTTCAACCAAAGATACCCAACGTTAGCATTACTTAAAAATAGTTTTTAACTAGTGGATAATGTTACGTATGAGATGCCCTTCCAAAGCATCTTTGCACTTTACAGCTTCTCAGATGATACCACCCTGTTAAAGCCTGTTCATGAACCATGGGGCTGACACCCCACAGAAAAGCTCATGCAGGATAGCCAGAAATTTCCTTCCCGTGTCATACTCAAACAAAGTTTGAAAATAAAAAGTCTTTCCCTCATTTCATTCCATCTCTACTGAGCCACAGGTAAGAGAATTTGATGAGAAAATTTGGAAGTAACTGGTGGCCAAGAGCATGTAGGATATGGACCATCTCGGGGTAAAGATAGGGACGGGTATCACCAAAAATTTTGTAACTTGCATTCATCAAGGAAATGTCGTGCTAAATTCATCTTATTCCTTTTTCTCCTGGGTTACTAAACTGGCTGATGTGAGAGTGCCATGATTTAGATTAATTTCTGCAATTAAGTTTCTTACCATGTCTTGTGGGAAATTCAGAGGCATGTAAACTGGATAACAGAAGAGCCGGGTGAAGTTGTGGTTAATTAGAGAACCATCCTCAATACATGTTAACTGTGCATTGATATGAACCTGGAGCCATGGTCCTCAGTTGCTTTCTGTTGTGGCACACGTGGAGGACGGCTGTGCCCCTCCTGGACTTGTGTCCATGGTTGTGTGCGGGGTACGTACAGTCCAGCAGACTGGCCACAGGTCCACCCTGTCCCTCCCACTCAAGAAAACACACCTGGAAACTGGTTAGTGCAAGAGACATTATTCTGAGAATAAACTTACCACTCTGATCTGGAAAATGAAAGGCTGGCAGATTTCAGTACCTGGGACGTTATTAGTAGCAAAGTATCTGTGCTACTATGAGCTATTGTAAGACAGTCTGTGCTATGACTTGGCCCCTTGTCCCTTGCGTCATCCTGTTGAACATTTTAAACTCCATCTTTAAAGAACACTGAGAGGTGTGCTTCGAATCTCCTAAGGAACCCCATGGCTTGGGAGCTTCCATCTCCACAGCTGAGAGCAGCCTGCAGGAGTGAGGCATCCTTCGAACCTGGAGGTGGCTGTCGGTGTCAGAAAACCTATAGACGGCAGAAGCTTTAAATCAGTATTTCAAAGTGGTTAATTTTTTTTTTTTTTTTTTTTTTTTTTGCAGTACGCGGGCCTCTCACTGTTGTGGCCTCTCCTATTGCGGAGCACATGCTCCGGATGCACAGGCTCAACGGCCATGGCTCACGGGCCCAGCCGCTCCGCGGCATGTGGGATCTTCCTGGACCGGGGCACGAACCCGTGTCCCCTGCTTCGGCAGGCGGACTCTCAACCACTGCACCACCAGGGAAGCCCCAAAGTGGTTAATTTTTAAGAATGAAGTTTTGATGCTCCATCTAAAAGGTTCCAAAAAGGTTTTATTTCTGTAAGTCTTGCTCCAAATAGACTTCTCTCATAAACAGAGATGTCAACATGATCAGTTACTAATTGGGTAAATATTTTAAAGAAATTATTTCTTATTTTAATAAGAAATAATGTATTATTTTATTTCACCTCTGGATGGCTAGTCCCTGGAGGACAGCAATACTGTCATGCTTACTTCCCTGCTGTTGACCCTGGCTGTCTCCTGCACACACCACTGAAGTCTGGTGAATTAAACCCTAGTTCATAAACCTCACAGGGGAGTCTCGTCTGTGACAGAACTCACTTTCCACTTAAGACAAACTTTGCAAATTAGAGGGCAACCAACCCCAGGGCAACTGTCCCCAAGCCTTGACTGTACCTTACTCAACATGAGTTGCCCCAGAAAATATACAGGGCGCCACTTAAAATGGAATTTCAGGTAAACAGTGAATGATTTTTTTAGTATGGGACATACTTATATTAAAAAATTATTTGTTGTTCATCTGAATTTGAATTTAACTGGGCATCCTATGTTTTCATTTGCTAGGTCTGACAAGTCTAAGCCTTTAGAAAATGTTGAAGTGAGGGTCCCACTCCAGAGACTTGGATACAGTTGGCCTGGAATGGGACACCAGGGCTAGTATTTTTCAGAGGCTCTCCAAGTGATTCTATGGTGCAGCTGGGGTTGCAGGTCACTGCCCTGTAATGTGCATTTCGACCTTGAACCTGTTCTCAGGGCCTTCAGTTGTAAGCGTCCGCCTCCTTTCCAAGGTATCCTGGCCCTTAGCTTCCCACAGGCTGACCTCAGGGATCAGTGGACCCACAGGCTTGGGGTGAAGCAGGAAATGCTAGGCAGCCTTGACCTCTCTGCCCTTCCTTAGACAGAGGAGCTTTATTCTAGGAAATTCTCCCTATTAGAATTCTTGGGAAATGAAGTGTCTCTGCCCAGCCACTGGGCTCCTTTCTGTACATCAGGCCATTGCGTGAAGCTGCTCCTGACCTCTACATGGTTCTCAGATGTGTAGCTCCCCCCGTTGGCACCCTGAGTTCTCATGTGAGCCTCCTACGCCTGAGTCGCCATCTCCCAAGGAGACCCCAGATATTAGGACCAGGCTTTGCTGGTCCCCATTTCAAGTTTTGTTGCGTGTGTCAGAGCCGAGTCTAGATCTTGACCTTGTTGGGCTCCCCCCTAGAGACTGTTGCTGTACCCTGGGACCCAAGCTTAGCATCGGGGCCCTATTCACCATGAGCAGACCTTTCAGGATTTGTTTTCCCATTTGGAATTCCCATTTGGTTTTCTGTGCTCACTTGTTGGGGTCCTGGTACTAGTCGCATGCCTGAACGGTGGAGCTTGCCGTGGCCTTGGGTCTAAGGTTGGTGCGCCTCCTCTGAGGGCTGTACCCGGTGGGAGGATGGGGGACTTTAGTGCAAGGCGCAGGCCTGGCCCTGGCTTCTTTTCAGCCGGACCCTGTGGCTCCCTGGCAGATCTACACTTAAGACCGTCACAGCACTGTTGACAGAGCCTGGAATCACTGAAGGCAAGCCAATGCAGGTGTAAGATGTTGGGTTTTATTTTAGATTTGTACCGTTTGAAAGCCTTATAGCATGGCAAAATGTTGAGATCTAGCAATCATTGGGATTATGGGATTAGAGACAGAATTCTGAGATCATTTGTATAGAGTTTAGCTGAAAGTGTCGGTGAGTTCTCCAAGGAGAATAAACCAGGGCTCAGTGCTCATAGATGTCAAATACACCAGTGGATGGAGAAGCCTGGTAGATGAAGGCCAAAGCAGGAAGAAATGCCAAACACCTCTCAGTTCCTGGTCACGCGTGAGTCACGAGGACCACTAAAGGGATGAGGTGAAAACGTATCGTCTAAGAGAAAGGGCGTCATCTGAACCCTGAGAGGCACATGGCTTACACAGGGAGGGTTTAGATTTTAACTTTTAGATATTTTTACAAGTGCCCTACCAGAGGTGCTCATTTAGAAAGAAACCAGATAATGTTTTCAAGGATGTGAGCTGTGTAGGGAAAATACCGCAGTCAGAAGGCAAACCCAGTCTTAATAAAGACTTCTGCACTGAGGGAGCCGGGTGGGGAGGAGACCAGAACTTTTCACTGGAGTTGGAGTACAAAGTAAGAAGCCAAAATATTAAGTGGAAGGAACATATAGTCCTGAATATAAACAAGACACAGCCTGTGAGAAGCTGAGAGCTGGTATAATCCCTGAGCATCTTAGTACCTAATTAACTCCTGGGCTACCTGAGGCTAATGAGACTGATGGCTTAGGTCACAGCACATCTGAGAGTGGACAACTCCTTCTGTGCTGTCACTGGAGGGAATGGGAAGGTGAGACGTGATTTATTTTCCTTTTTTCACAGCCAAAAGTCATGGTGACAAAGGCTACGTTGTATGGCAAATCAGTGACGTTAAACTTTGATTAAGAAAAGATCAACTCTTTGGTAACCTCTGAAAAAGTGGTTTGAAAAACTATTGAAAGAGAAGGTAATAAAATGTAATGCTTGAAGGCAAATTTAAGAAACAGAGTTTTCATCAAAGAATATCACTCGTAAGAACACATTTCTATTATCTCCAAGCACAAGTATGTTTATAGATTCAGTCAACTTTCCCAAGTTTTGTTTTTAGTTTGGAGCTGATGTTCTTTGATTAGTACTTGAATTTAGTAAGGAAACTTATTTTAACATTATTAATTATTAAAATAAAACATTGTTTAGAGGAAGTATATTTACATATAGGGTTAGGATAATTCTATCAAAATTCTTATTTTTACATTTTAATAAAGATATTAGATCATCTAGGGGGAAAAGGTTATGTACACTTTGAAGATGTGAATTTGGTTAAATCAGTGTTGATGGGACCAAGATTTAATAAAAATATGGATGATTATGAAATGCATATTAATGGTATGCTATTTCATTAAAAATTATATATCCGTATTATACAATAAACTAGTCTTAGTTATTTAATCACTTGAAAAAACCCCTAGATTTTAGGATTTTGAGTTGAGGAAGTTTTTGCAGCTGGAGTCCTCGTTTTATAGAATGTGGATTTTTATAGGAGTTGTAATCCTCATCTGGTTAATTTTCTTTAAAATTAAAAAGAAAAAACTCCTGCATTTGACTTTGACATTAATTGTCATAACTTTTAGTAGAGAAAAAATTTTGAGGTGATACTAAGACTAGAAGTCATAAAAAGTACTTAATATTTTTTATAACATCTACCTGGAAACTGAACTTATTTATTTTTAAATAATGCTACTTCTCTATTGAATAGGAAAATTTGGTGCCAATACAAGTAATTTTGTGGGAGTGAATAGAAAATGAACAGCAAAGTAATAGCATATAAAGAAATTTTCATATTCAGATTTGACCGATGTTGCTATAGTAAGTTATGTATTTGTGTAAATGTACTCCACCAATAATGAGGTCAGTTTGGAAAATATATTGCTTATAACTGAACTAAATCAAAATGAAAAATTTTACAGTGATTGTTAAATGCCAAATTGAACTGGTCTCGTTAAATGTGAAATTCAAGTATATTTAGACTATTGCCTAAATTTTAATACATGAAAATAATGAGATGTGACCAGAATAGATGGAAAAAGTTACTTCTATTTTTTTTTCTTTTCTCTTAGCAGCTTCTCATTTCACAGTTTAGATGTATTTTCTGGAATTTGATGAGATAGCCTAGCCTGTGGGCATGAAGCATGCCGTGCCTCTCAGTGAAGAGAGGAAAAGGACAAAAGGGTATCGGCCCCTGTGGTTTTATATGAGCATTTTGCTCATGACTTTTACCTAAGGG